AATGACCTGAAGCCAAAAAAACAAAACAAAACATTAAAACAAAGACAGAATTGCCCAGGAAAAATGTAAAGCTATCGTGCAGCAGAACATATTATTAACAAGTCGAAAAGACACCAGTTATAGGGAGGGCATGTATCTGAATATATGGCCAAGCATATAAAAAAAGCACAAAAAGCTAAGTAATAGAAGTTGGGCAAAGGGTACAAACAGAAGAGGTTCACAAAAGACTTACAAGAGCCAACAGACATGAAAGCTGTCCACCGCCCACCCGAGCAAGAGCGAGGAGATGGGAAATGGGTCCCCTTGGTGGGTTAACAGCACGCCCCTTTTTGGAAGGCGAAACGGCAGCATCTTTGACCCAGGGGAGCAACGACACGTGTACCAGGGAGCAAACACACATGTACCAGGAAATATCTGGCAGCCTGTAATATTAAACGCATAATTGGGAACAACTCCTAAGTCAATCAATAGTGGGTCCCTTTAATCAAGGTCGGCATAATCATAAAGGGCACAGGAGGCGCTGTTAAGGACGAGGTGGAGGTGGGAGGGAGTGCAAGGTGCACTGGAGGCTGAGCACCGCACGGGGGCTGGGGGACGTGGGTGTGAAGCGGGGTGGGGGGGTGTGGGGTTAGGGGACGCAGGGTAGAGGGGCGGGTGGACTCCCACCTTCCCCTATGCAGCTCTCTGTAATGTCTGCCTGTTAATAAACGTGTGCAATCTTTGCACCTAGGGGGAAAACACTAAATTATTAAAAACTCGGTTCTGATTGGCAGGGTAGTTGCTTAAGATGACAAACTACCACGGCCATGGGCGACAATTTATGGGGAGGCGCGAATCATGTTTGGGGCATAAAACAGCGTTCCCTCAGCTGGCATCCGGCTCTGGAGGCGTGGGGGGCAGGCTACTTCCCGCATGTCAGAAGAACCTAACACCTTCTCGCCTCCAGAACGGCCACCGGCCACCCGCAACATGAATTCATTTGGTGTCTTTGTATCTCCCTGAGCTGCAGTGAGCGCAGCTACCTGCCCTGGCTTTGTAAGAACCAGGGGGGCAGCTCTGTGCGCCTGAGCCGTGTGAAAAGGGGGAAACGCATTAACTACTGTTTATTTAGCTTTTTAATAAACGAAGCAGGTTTCTTTCCCCCCACAATATCAGCCTCCTGGCTGAAAAGTAAAGGGAGATTAGGATTCTGGATGGTGACCCCATAGACGGTCACAAGAATGGAGCAGGCGCCTTATCTCCTGTTGCAGTTCACAGCCTGACCACGAGGTGGCGCACAGGGACCGCACATGTTGCCACATCGCCCGCTACCAAATCCTTTAGCATTAATAGGCACAATGAGAGCTTTCCAAAAAGTAGAAAGAATGAACAATTGTGCTGGGATACGAGCATTCTGCTTTTATAAAATTGGGACGCTGCCATTTCATTACTGATACAAAAATTTTCTGCCTTCCTTTCTTCCCACCACATGCTGGTCCCCAACCCCCTCCAAGCAGGTATCCTTGAAGGCGCCCGCAGAAGCCCTTGCAAGGTGCATGTCCACAAGTTGAATTCAAAAATTCTTTTCACCTCTCGCTGCCAAGTGTGTTTCCATTAATTTCACCTCAATGTCGTGACGTAAATGCTGGCGGAATGGGCCCCAAGCTAAATAAGCAATAAGCCCCATTTTTCAACACACAAACACATAAAGATGTCAGCTCAAACTGTTTACTAATTAACACTTAAAAAGACACAAATTAGATATGCGTGGCTAAGAGCAATTATAATCAAGACGAATTTCTCTAGTCATTTGGGAACTGAAAAAAATGCCTAATTGCTGGAACCAATGTTTTAAAAACTGAAATCACGCCAGTTAGCAAATATGTTCATTTAAAGACCATTCCACGTGACTACACTCTGAGGATTGACTACAAACACGAGAACAAGGAAAATATTTAGGTATAAAATTAAATTTTTAAGCTCCCTTAGATTTATAACTTCTTCATTAAATACGTCTGCAAACAGCAGCCCATAAAAACCTGTAGCAATTAAGTGGTTAAATGAACTGCCTCCCTTGTCAATTTTAAGGGAGTGATTAATATTAGCTCGTCCCTTTCCTAATTAGACTCTCCCTTGTCTTTCAGCTTTAATGCCGAGTGAAAATGGAGGCTGTTGGCCACACCGCCTTCGCGGCCGCGTTTGTGTGTGTGGAGCTCCCTGACGGGCAGGTGAACATCGGGGGGGCCAGGGGGCCGGTGGCTCCTGTTTCAGGGCCGCCGCCTCCGCGCAGGTGACAGAAAGTCCACAGTCCAGGCCCCGGCTCCTGACCCTCGTTCCTGAGACCGGAGACCGCGACGGCCTGGCAGGCCGCGAGGATCAACAGGCCGAGACACAGGACGGGGGTATTTTATATAGAAGGAGCCGCCTGATCTGCGAGCTGGGGAGCTCCCACCCAGCCTGCGAGGGGGAATCCATCAGCTGGAGAAATGGGGTGACTGCTTACAAGGGAAATAAAGAGCGGCAGAGGCAGGGAATATTTATATGCCCATCTTCTCGCTCTGAGAGAAGACGCTTCATCACGGGTCGGTTGCGAAATTACTCCTTCCCGCTCCACAACAGAGCAGCTTTTGTTTGGCTCGGGTGGGGGAGCAATCGGGCTTCCCCGGGACCCTGCCCCTGGGGTCACGCAGCCTAGGGGTGTCCCTGGGAGGGGACAGGCCCCAGCCAGAAAGCCCCCCCAGCCTAGGCAGACCCACTTGCTTCCAGGCTGGGGGCAGGTGAGCAAAACTCATCTTCTCCTGACTCGGACGCAGCTACCCTCATTGACAGGGCCAGGTCCCTGCTTTGGGACAGACACCAGACGCTGGTGTGACTAGGCCAGAAGGAGGGGCCGCAGGAAGCGGGTCCTGCCCCGAAAGAGGGGGCACCGCCTGCTGAGAGTTTCTTCACCCCGGCTTCCTGGTCTCCCAACAGCCCACACGGCTGAGGAGCGTTCCTTTGGGGTGAGAGGTTCAGTCTTTCCATGCTACTGTTTCATCTGTTCCAGAGCATGTTCTGTGGTTTTAATCACGACCTTCTGCTTCCCGGCACCTGCCCAGTGCTGCGCCCACCCAAGGGGCTGGGGAGTCCCCCTGGAAGCAGACCCCCACCAGCACCCCCCACTCCCACTTGGGGGGGTGCCAGGGAAGCCAGGGAAACTTGCCCTGGCTTCAAACCCCGGCAGTAAACTGCCCTCCCAGCTACACCACGAGGTCTCCATTGTCTACACAGCACACGGCCGGGCGCCAACCCCGTATCTAAGCACCCGCGTGGTGGGAGGCTCTGCCCCCTCCCCCCAGCTCGTTTTCTCTCCCTGCTGCCAGGGCCTGAGTCACTCTCCCTCGAGTTTGCTGGGTTCTGGGGGGCTGCAGGGGAGGTCGCTCACCCACGGCTGGGGCCACACCTCCTCTCTCCATCTGCCAGTACTGGCTTTAGGCAATTCTTGAACTTGGGGGGCTGGGTCCACTGCAGGGCCCGATGGGGGGGCAGCTCTCCTAGGCTGCTATTTGCTTCCTTTGTCCCTGACCACAAGCTGGAGGGTGATGGGGTTTCATTCGTGGGGTGACCTGTCCCCAAGGTCAAATGGGGGTGACAGGGCACAGGCTTCCAACCAGAAACACCCCCCAGACAGGGGAGTGAAGCTGGTGGGAAAGCAAAGCTGCCCAGTCTGGACAGGCGGACTCAGAGCCGCTGCCTCCATTACAGCTGGGGCCCCCCCACTGTCCCCACAGCGGCAGAGGGGTGGGGTGCGGGGAAGTTGCCTGCCAGCAGGAAGCCGCCTCCAGAGCCGGGGCTCCAGAGGGGCCAGTGGGAGCATGGAAGGGGACCCTCTGCTGCCCCTGAACCCAGAGGCCGCCCCCCGCCTGTTTTGGAGGGAGGGGGTCTGGCTTAGCCGCACCCCGGCTTACCAGGGGCAGCCGGTTTACAGAGGGCAGAGCCCCAGTGAGGCTTCGAGCCCCCAGGCCGCCCTTGCCCCCTCCCCAGTGTAGCCACTCAAAAAGGAGCAGCAGAGGGGCGCTGACCAGGGGACACGGCCACCTGGGCAGAACCTGGCCACGGCTGCTCCTGGCCTGCGACTCCGGGGAGACAGCGCCGGCAGCTCGAGGAGCACCTGCAAGTTTGTTGCAAGGTCCTGGGCGCCGCTGCAGGAGGGGCTGGGTCTCCCTGGGTGGGGCGCGGGGTGGGGGGGTGGCAGGTGCCACTGGAATGTCCCTCCGGTTAAAGGAGAAGCACCCTCCTCACAGGGCGCCTGCAATGGCGTAGGCGGCACCGTCACTCGATTTTATCTCCTTCAGCTGAGAACGGAACCTGCCTCTCAGCCCATCATGGAACAGGAAACAGAGCTGGGCTTGCTGGGCCGGAGGCGGCTAGCGGCAGCACTGGGGGGCTCCCTAATCACTCCCCACCTGGGCTGGGGAGACCCCTAACAGCCAGCGTGGCCCTAGGATGGCAGCTGCTAACTCCCGGGGCAGAGGCCCCTGGCAGGCACCATGCAAAGCCATTGACCGACTGTCTCAGCTGAACCCCATAAATGCTAGGGCGTAAGCATTTTTATTTTGCCCCTGAATTTACAGAAGAGGAAATGGCAGCTCAGAAAGAGGAAGTGGAAGGACCAAGATTCCAGCCTGGGCAGGGCTGGAGGCTGGCTCCCGCCTGGTGAGGGGCTGGGGCTGGCTCGGAGCCAGTCCTGAGCACCCCAACATCAGGACAGCGGTTCCCATGGAACAGGTTTCTAGGTCAGGTTTCAGACCCGAGGATGGGGAAGAGAACCGGGTTTACGGCGTTTCTATTGCACGCCCTGGGCTCCACACTGCGCCCCTCACCCACTTCACCCCATCCTGGATCTTGGAGGCCCAGCCAGGGTCAGAGCCAGGGGCAACCAACTGGCTTTCCACACCCCACTGTCCCCACCAGCCCTCCTTACCCCCCTTAGATGGCAACAGAGTCACAGGCGAAGTCACAGTGGGGGGACCTGGGGGGGGGGGCGGTCTTGGTCCTGTTGTGGGCAAGGGGCTCCCGAGCCTCGGTTTCCACCCCACGAAACGGGGACCAGGACCCCCAAGAGGTCAGCTTGGGGTGAGAGCCAGCGATCCTGGGTAAAGCCCGGGACCCAGAGCTGAGTGCACAGCAGGTGCTGGAATAAACAGGGCTACGGTTGGGGCCCAGGTGAGTTCCCAACCAAGGACGGGGAGGGGAGACATTCGGAATGCTGCCCCCTTGTCCAGCACCCCCCCCACACACACACCCCTACGGGGCGTTAGATCTGCCGGCACTTTCACACCTGCTCGTGAGGCCTTCGTGGACGACCTGCCCACCCGTGGGTGCCAGCGTCATCCCCGCTGCGAACAGAGAGGGGCGTGACTTGCCCCTGGTCGTTGGTGGAGCGCGGCACAAGTCTGTCTGTCTGGCCTCGTCCACCCTCCCCAGGGCACCTGCAGCCACAGCAGGCTGCTCTCGGGCCCTCCTCACACGCCCGCTGGGCCTCCCCGGCCGCCCTGCCTGCGAGAACGGTGGCACGCATTCCGGGCGCAGGCGTGTTTCTAAGGGAGCAGCCAGCCAGCCCTGCCCGCGCCCCCAGATGACGATCAGGTGGGCTTTATGATTTACGCAAAATCAAAGACAAAGGGCGACTTTTCTGTCTTGTTTCTGCTGTGACAGCTTTTGAAATTTGTTGCACTACATTGATTCAATTTTCCTTGATTTCAGCCATCTTTCAATAATGCCGCCCGCGCGCGCCGCCTGGTACACGAGGGAAAACCCAAAGGAGCTGAGAATATTGAAATGGTTCTACCATTTCCATCTTGGAGACAAATGTCCCTCTCAGAGGAGAGCCGGCTGCGAGCGCGCGGCTGCTTAACAAGCTCTGTACCGGGGAGAGGCCGCGGGGGCCGGGCCCTCCCGCTGGCCCCGTGACCGGCCTTGCGCCCCAACCTTGCCGCTCTTTCTTCTTTCTTAGGAAAACATCCAGAGTACCTGGAGCCAGGCTGCCGAACGGGGCCTGACTCCGCCATCACTACTGGGGTGTCTCCTGAGCCCCCCTCCCAGTCGGACCGTTCCCAAACCCACCGGCGCCAATCACAAAGCAGAGGAGGAAAGCGAGTCGATGCCGCGCCCCAAAGCCCCACGCTTGCTTTCACCCAAGACAAGTTTCTGCAAGGAGGCAGGACTGTCCTGTCGCCCGCAGCGCCTGGCTGGGGAGGGAGACGCTGCTCACACCTGACTGGGAGGAACAGACCCGGGAGAAGCGAGCTGCTGAGGACCCAGCCCAGGGACCCGGAGGTGTTTTCCTCGGAAGGGGCCCCTCGGCGCGGGGAGCAGACCGCCATGGCACGGGGTGTGGGGGGTGGGGGGGAGTGGGCCTCTCCGGGCAGCCTGCTTACCTCTTTTTCAATTTCTGCCAGAGACTTGATGGTGATTCCCAGGAGGTCGAAGGGCTGCATCTGAAACACAGCGCGCGTCCTCGTGAAAAGGCTGAAGACGTCCCTAGGCCCTTGCGTGGACTACACAGCGTGCCGCCCCCCGGGGTGACTGTGGTGAGGGAGACGCTCAGCACAAGAGCCGCAGCCATGAGGCCTGACCCCTGTAGGGCAGGCCCCGCCCGACCTGCCCCCTAGACGCACGCCCAGGCCACGGCCACCTGGGACGGCGCTGCCCCCCGCCCTCCTGCCCCTCCCCCGCGCTCCTCCTGCAGCTGTGGGGACGGGGTGCCCAAGCTTCCCCAGAGGCCCCCCTAACTGCCGTGAGTCACTCCTCCAGGGCTCCTTGGTATCCAGGGAAGGAGCTGGGGGAAGTCCAGGCCTTAGAAAATGCAAGGTTAGAGGAATGACTAACTGCCCATCAATTATCGTTTCAGAAATCAATGGTGGTGAAAATGATAACATGGCAAGTTAATGGGTGTTTCTACGATTTCATAAAGGTGGGAACCTTGCTATGAAAATGCTGGCTTCTCAACAGACGGCGTGAAAACAATCAGATACAGGTAGCATCAGCTGGAGGCCCCGGGGGCCTGGGCTGACAAGCTGGGGGAGAAGGCCCTGGTCCAGGTCCCTGCTGGGCCTGCTAATGCTCTGGATTCCCAGGAGGGGTACCAGCGCGGTGTCGGGGAGCCCAGGCCAGCAGCTGGTGGCTGGGATGCACAGGTGAACCCCAGTCTGCTGAGGGGCGGGGCTGGGCTGGGCCAAGAGGGATTTCCCATGGGGCTGGGAACAGGAGGCCGGCTCTGGAATCCAAGGACCTGGATTCACAACCGGATCAGCACCTCGCACGCGGCCAGCAGCAGGTGCGGTCATTCCAGTATCTCCTCTCCTGTCCAGAAGCTGGGGCTGGAGGATGAGAGGAGGAAGGCGGGAGACCCTGGCACTGGGCTTGGCCCGACTGCCGGTGCCCGGAGGCCTTGCAGAGTCGGCAGCGGCACATCCGGAGGGTGATCTTGGGACAGGGCCACCGAGTTAGGCACTCGGCTCCCGGGCCTGTGAGGCAGCCGCAAAACAGCATGGCTCTCTCCCACCACCATCGCGCCCCGCGAGCGGGCCGCCTGCCCTCGGCCGGGGCCCGGTGGAGGTCCAGCTGCCGCATCGACAGGCGCTAACGGCCCCACTAAACTTTCCCGACTGGAGCTGGTGTGCAGGGCCTGGCAGCCCGGGTGGGGGCCCTGCGTCGCCATGGCAACGCGGCGAGTTGAGTGGGCCGAAGTTACTCACGCTCGGCATGTCACGTCACAAGCATTTTTCAAGATTAAGCTGCTTACCAGAAAGGCTCAGAGGAGGCCTATTATATTTCATGAAAATGGAAACTACAGAGCAGGTCAAATCGCAAGCCGGGTGGTTTAAGCTGGATCCAAGAAAAACACTGAAGGATTCTGTAGCTGGACCCAAACTGGGGCCTTCACGTTTATTCATTACTCAAAACTAACTTCAGCTGTGAGGATTTAAAAAAAAACAAAAAACCCACACACCCAGAAACAAGTTGCTGAGCCCATATGGACCAGGCCTGAGCAGCCAGGGAAGCGTCCCAGGAGTGCCCAGGGCCGCGGCCCACTGTCCCCTACAGCTGCTGTGGTGGGTGCCCCTCACCGTTCTGACCCTTGGGCCCAGTCAGTTCACCCAGATCCTGTCACTAAAGAAAGCTCAGGGCCGGCCCATCCTAGGTTTGCTCGTGGGCACCGAGGGGTCCGTGCTGCCTGCCGTGAGCGGGAGAACCCCTCCCCCAGGCACATGGCACCCGCAGGGCCGTGGAGCACAGGCTGTGGTTGTCAGAAGGTGCAACAACGGCAAAGGGAAAATGAGGCAGCCGCCTTCCTGTAGGTCGCTGCGTCATTAAAAAACCAAGAGGGACAAGGAGATTAAGCTGAGCTGAGAGGGCCGGGTCCCCGGTGGCGCAGAGGTTGAGCGCTGGGTTGCGAAGCTGCCCGCAGCCTCTGCAGCACCGGTTCAATCCCCGGCTGCTCCCCGGCCACCGGAGGAGGGTCCCCATGGCACGCAGACCTCTCCTGCCACCCGCTGCTCCCCTCAGCAGTGTACTTCGGTCCTTCTGCCTGCTCTGCTCCCCGCTCTGGCTCTGGTGAATTCTCTCACCCTCCCGCGCTTCTGACTGTACCCAGTGCTTGTATAAATAAATAAATCAATCTTTAAAAAAAAAAAAAAAAACACATTTAAAAAAAGCTGAGCTGAGAAACCAAGAATACTCTCAACCAGTGAGGCGGGTCCCATGGACCATCCCGGCTGAAAGGAGAGAAGCCCCGCTGGGGTGGGGGACACGCGACCACCTCCCACTTCCGGTCCCCCAGGGCTGAGCTTCTAATGGGGCCGGACACGGGGCAGAAACAGCTCCACGGAGGGGCTGGGGGCAGGGAGAGTGAGGCCGTCGGACACCCATGGGCTCTGGAAATCGAGGCGAGGGGCCGGGGAGGTGCAGAAGGCAAGAGCGACCAGCCACACTTACACTTTCCGGAATGCAGGAGAACTTCTCTGAAATCATGAAAGGCACACCGTCCATTGCTGCAGAAGAAGAAAGAAAAAAATGACTTGCAGACACCACTGATGTTCAGGGACTTGAGCCACGAAGGGGCGGTGAGTGGGTGGGAGGCTGGAGCGGGCGAGCACGAGGGGCGCAGGGGGTGAGGCAGCGCCTGGCCGGACAGCACCTCCCCTCAATAGCAGGCAGGCGGGCGCGCAAGAGTTATGGGTGCAAAGAAGGGCCTAGTGCCCTCTTCCCAGGGCCCACCGGGGAGTCAGGCCTCTGAGGGCTGGTGTGGACAGGACGAGGCCGGGGGCCAGGAGCGTTGGGCAGCTGCGCGTTCCTGACTGTGCTCCCACCTGAGCCAGACCTCGGCCCCCCAGGCCGCCGGCTCGGGGATGGTCTGGGCTGCAGGCACAAGGCTGTGGAGTCAGACCGCCTGGGTTTGACCCCGTCGTGGCTCGGGGGGTTCGCAAGCTGCCTGTCCCAGGAGGAGGCCTGCGAGGGCATATGGCGCAGAGCAGAGCAGCGGGCCGCGGGGCTGACCGGCCTCCCTGCTGACTTGGGGCCACTCAGGGCATCATGGGCGGGCTGCTGGGTTTTAGCGCATGCGAGAAGGGTGGCGCCCCAACACGCACAAGCCCCGGAAAGGGTGTCAGCCTGCTGTTCTGTCCCACAGCCCTCACCCACCACGGCCCCCAGTTGGCGCCGCCCACGGCACAGGGAGAAAGTCCCCCCCACACACCACCCCGCCCGCCGCAGCAGCCTGTGCCAGCACATCCTTCCCAAGACACACTCGCTGCGGACCATAAAGCTCTGATGCCACGCTGGACCCCGTGGCTCGTCCACAGGTTGCCCTGGACGATGTGCGCGGCGTGGGGGCTCTCCCTGCGTGACGGCTCCGCAGACGAGGGGCCCGGGGGGCCGGCTGAGATCCTCCCTCGGGCCAGAGCAGGGCCAGGCCCAGCGTGGGGGGCTCACCCCAGGTGTGAGGGTTTGCTGGTTTACGGCGGTTTAGGACGATGGAGCAATGTGTTAGGAGCCTGGTTAGGGGTCCCCCGGGCAAGGACGGTGCTTGCTGCTCCCACTTCTCTGGGATGTAAGTGGCGGAGCAATTCAGTCCGAAGAAGGATGAGCAGCAAAGGCAGACGGCGGACAAGCAGGAGGACGGGGTAAGGGATGAAGAGCCACGTGGACGCGTCCTCTCTGGCGGCCAGGCGAGCCCAGGGCTCACGTAAGGCTACGCTCGCGCCTTGCTCTGGGGCAGGGAGGAGGAAACCTGCCTCCCTGCTCCAGAAGCCGAGCAGCTGCCAGCCGCACAGACTCTGCGGCTGGAGCCTGCACTGGCTCAGGGGCCTGCCACCTTCCGCAGCTGCCCGGAGGCTGGGCAGGGAAGGGGGACACGTCCCCAGAGAGGAAGAGAAAAGCCCCAAATAACCTTACGCAGGCGCCCACACTTCGCACAACTAGAGGGCCAGGCACCTGCGCCGCCTGCTCCCCTGCAGCCAGCGAAGAGACAATCCTCACGGGCCATGGGCCTTCTCCGGAGCCGGACCAGGTGCCACCCAAGGTCCGAGAGGAGCTTCCCACTCCCTTCTCAGTCCTGCCACTGACTGACTGCCCCATGCAGGCCGGGAGCCACCATGAACCCCGCAGAGCACTCTGACTCCTGACCCTGCCCCAATCTGGAGCTAGGTGGGCACACGGTGCCTGGAGCACCTCCAGTCCTTTCAGATCAGGGGTCAGGGGTCAGAGGTCAGGCCTCCGAGGTTGCACGGGTAGAGGTAACTCCAGAGGCAGAGACAGAGTTTCTTTGAACTGCTGCTCCTTCCACACCAAGGGCCCTCAAGTTTTGACCATCATCGGGCCTCTCAGTCTATGGTGGTCGTCCTACGAGCGCTGATAGACTGAGGGGCCCGGAAGTGCGTGTGTGCCCACACTGCCGCCCCTGCCTCCACCCTCCTCCTCCCTGCCTGAGTGCCCTCCTCTCGAAGTCACACCCCGAGCCACAGTCCCCCCGATCCCCAGGGCCTCTGCACACCCGTCTGCACACCCCTTCTCTCCGCGGCTTCTCCCGCCACTGTGCAGATGCAGGGTCCCTGCGCTCAGCAGTGCCCACGGAATGCCAGCAGGCAGCTCTCTGCTGGCCAAGACCCCTCCACCTTTGTCAGGCTTTCTGCCCTCGGCGTTTTAAACCTTCTTAGTGTTTGGGGGTTTCTGAGGAGACACGGTAAGGAGCTCCCTCTCACTGGTGACGCGGCAATGCTTGCTGAGACCTTGTGTCCTGGGAAGGTGGAAAGGTAGCCGCCCCGGGAGCTGAGGCCCAGGGAGCATGGGGGCATCGTAGGGGTTGGGAGAGGGTTTCCCAGCCACAGGCTGGCAGTCAGTCACTCCAGAAGTGAAGCACACAGGAGAGTCCAGGGCAGGCCCCGCACCCCCCACTGTCCCCCTGCACCACTGTCCTGCTGGGGTCGCTCAGAGTGCCTCTCCTGCAGGGTCAGGCCCCAGGGGGTTCCCCCTTTCCCCTGAGGGTTCAGTGGTTGTGCAGGAGGAGGGTGGGCAGCAGATCCCATAGGAACCTCCCTGAGGGGGCAGGAATCACAAAGCTTCTTGAGGAGGCTGAAGACAAATCCAGGAGTGACATCATTATGGGGCCAGACTAAGGTGCTCGTAAGGGGAGAAGAGGGGAGGGTTCTGATTGTTCCAATGAGCAGCCATTCCCTACCCCACCCCGCCCGAGTCTCTCCCTGTCCTTAGGTCTAGACCCTGAGACACAATATTGAAATTAGGTCACTCACCCTCCAGTGGCCTCCACATGTTCACGTAAAAAGAAGAGTCACACACCTCTCACTTTCAATCAAAAACTAGGGATGCTTAAGCTGAGTGGGGAAGGCAGGTGGGGCGCTGAGTCAGGCTACAAGCCGACAGCGACATTGTGGACGCAGAGGAACAGTCTTCAGGGATGAGACGTCAACTCCATGGAGAAAGCTGCAGTGGGCAGAGGGTCAAACCAGCCACGACCTTCCTTTAAGCCAAAGCCTAAGGCAGAGCAAGGCCCTAACTCTCTTCAATCCCATGAAGGCTGAGAGAGGCGAGGAAGTGCAGGAGAAGAGTTTGGACCTAGCAGAGGTCGGCTCATGAGGTTCCAGGAAAGACACGGTCTCCACAACATAACGGCGCAGAGCAGAGCAGCGAGCGCTGATGTAGAGGCTGCAGTAAGTCATTCAGATCCAGCTAAGATCATCAGTGAAGGCGGCTACACTACACATCAGACTTTCAATGCAGACAAAATGGAAGATGCCGTGAAAGACTTCCATAGCTAGAGAGATGTCAGCGACTGGCTTGAAAGGACAGGCTGACTCTCTTGCTGTAGACTGCTGACTTGGACTTGAAGCCAATGTTCATTTGCCATTCCTAAAAGGGCCCTTAAGAATTTTGCTAACTCTAGTCTGCCTGTACTCTGTGAATGGAACAACAAAGCCTAGATGACAACACACCTGTTTTCAACTTGGTTTACTAATATTTTCAGCCCACTGTTTAGGCCTATGGCTCAGAAAAAAGATTCCTTTCTAAAGATCACTGCTCATTGGCAATGCACCCAGTCACCCAAGATGGAGAAGTACAAGGAGATTCAGGATGCTTCCCCGCCTGCCAACACAGTACCCATCCTACAGCCTGTGGGTCAAGGAGTAACTTCGACCTTCCAGTCTTATTATCTAAGAAATAGACTTCATAAGGCTATCGCTGCCATGGATAGTGACTCTTCTGATGGATCTGGACAAAGTAAACCAGAAACAAAGTAAATCCTGGACAGGATTCACCATCCGAGATACCCCTGAGAACATTCATGATTCATGAGAAGAGGTCAAGATAATTGACATTACCAGGAGTTTGGAAGAAGTTGATTCCAACCCTCCTGGGTGACTTTGAGGGGTTCAAGACCTCAGTGGAGGAAGTAACTGCAGATGTGGTGGAGACAGCAAGAGAACTGCAGGTGGGCATGGACTGCTGCAATGCCACTGGCGCGGATGAGGAGTCGCTCCTTATGGGTGGGCAAGGAAGTGGCTTCTTGCGCTGGGATCTGTCCCTGGTGAGGATGCTGTGGGCATTGAAAGTCTGACAGAGCACTTAGACTCTGACATGCACTTAGAGGATAAAGCAGCAAACCTTTTGAGAGGACCAACTCCAGTTTTGAAAGAAGTTCCAAACTGTCTGAGAAATGCTGTGGAACAGCCACTTAGAGAAATCTTTCCTGAAAGTCAGTGGATGTGGCAAACTTCACTGTTGTCTCGTTTTAAGAAATTGCCAACACCCCAACTTTCAGCCACCACCACCCTCCTCAGCAGCATCAACACGAGGTAACACCCTCCACCAGCAGGAGGGCAGCTGCTCCCAAAGGCTGGGGTGGTGAAGACTCCATGGACTGCGTGGCGTGCGCACCCCCGGCAGACGACTGCCTGTATACGTGTCTTTTCTGGGAGCTGAGGATCAAGACAGCTAATGCATCTCACTTTGCCGTGATACCGCCTTTATCGTGGGAGGTTGGAACTGACCCCCAGGGTCTTTGAAGCCATCCTGTCCTTGGCCTCCTCCACCCACCTAGAGAAGCTGTCAGGTGGAGGGAGAGAAGGGACCTCCGAGGCAAGCGACCTCATCCTGGAATTTATGATAGAAACAAGAGCCTCATCAGATGCTCCTTGCATTCTTCAGGGGAAAAAATGTACTTTCTTTTAGAAAATCAACTTTAACAAGCTCAGAGGAGGACACAGCCAGGATGCTCCATGCTGAAGGCCCCAGATGGTGCTCCCACCTTGCTGGGGTCTCTGCAGAGGGAAACCGGAGACCTCTGGAGCCACTTTGCTCACAAGCAGAGGACTGGCCAACCAAGTTCCACTTATTTAGAAAATCTAGAGTATCAAAGACTATGGCAGGCTGAAAAGTGTGGATTTTAGCAACGTGTTTGGCCAGTTTCTCCTGTTGCCTAGGTGGACACACAGGTTAATGCGGCTGGACAGTGTTAATGGTAAGAGACTCGCTACCT